AACTCCTGATAGCTTTCAAGTTAAAAGCTTTTGTGGGGATTTTTCTAAGCCAGTCTCTGGTATTTTGAGGGCCCTACGCATCTCACAAATCAAAACCAGTCTGGTTTCTGTCCCTTTCTAGGATTGCCATCTGAATTAATGGCGATCTGCACTCTGTTCTTTTATTAGAAACAGGCCCAAGCCATGAGATTATTATGGGAGAATGTCAAGAGATATGAAAGGAAGGATGATACTGCTGAAAGAGAACATTTTAAAAAAGGAAAAGAAGAAGGAAAAAAAAGGAAGGTGGCTGCTTCTTAGTTTGGAGTATTTTTGAAACTATGGTCTATATAGCTAATTATTCTTTTTACCTCTACTCTCTGCGTTCACATTGATTTCTGAGCAGCTTTTTGTCCCTTCTGCTCCAGGGCCCCATTTGCAATATTTATTGCCCTCACTTGGACCATAAAAGCTGTGAAAGTCATTTCTTCTCTGAACAGCTTTTATCTAGTTCAGACACACTGGAGAGCATCATGTTAGTGTCTTCATCATTCATTTGTCTTCAGTAGAAGGTAGAGCAAAACAATCTTTAACAACAACTTTTAGAACAGTTCTGAGAGTTCCAGATTAGAACGTATGACACAGTACATTTGTATGTTAACCTGCAAATTGGATAAAAGACTCATGCTTTTTCTATAATATGTGATGTCATCTTGTACAGGTAAGCTATTCAGATACTACTTAAAGAGTAGAGTAACTGTTCTGTTTTTAAGAGAGTGTACAGAGGAGGGAGTGTAATGGGGCCATTCCCAGAGCATGGGGAAGTGGGACCCACATTCCTAGCCTTCAGAGGACCGTAGATTTGGCTGGGGTCTCCAAACCCTGTGTTCTAGTACTTCTCCTTATTTCCTGTACCCTAGGCTGACCTCTTAGAATCCTCTTCTCTGGGAAAGGCTTCAGTGTTCACTTCCCTAGCCTATGTTCAGCTTCCGTTTTCTTTTTTGTTTTTTTTGGTTTTGGTTTCTGGTTTTGGTTTGGTTTGGTTTGGTTTGGTTTTTTAGCAGTCACTTTCTGACCAAAGCTTCCCTCCTCTGATGTCACTTCCTGACTTAACTGTTCCCTTGAGCTCACTTAGTCTAACTCCCACTCTGTCTTGTCTCCTGCCCTATAGGTTTACTCAGGAGTCTCCCTGCAGAGTTGGCAGTCAGCTTTCTCAAATAAGGAGCACTGTCAACGCAACAGTTGAACTGTGCTTGGTTTGAGTGACAGCAGAATGAAGAGGGAAAATCAAAGTTAAGTCCTATGCAGCAATTTAGCCACTCTGCTTCTTTACTCAAGAAACCTAAGCTTCTCTTTCCATAAATCTAACCAGTGTTTTTTCATCAAACTCAAGATAATGTAGGGTAACAAGAAGCCAAGCAAAGCAATAGTTTCTAGAGGTATTCCCCCAGTGAAAAATCAGGAAGTATGATCTAAAAACCTAAGCCATTTTACTAGAAGCTTGGGAATTAACTACTAAACCCTGTATATGTTTAAGCTATCATGTCTTCCAGCCTATAAGAATACTCTTTTTAGGCTAAAAACCTTAAACCACTTCTATTATAGTGAGAATGCCATCTCCTTTAAAAATCCCAGTTTTCTTCCTTTTTTGAAATAATACTGTTTGTGTTAAGGTAACTATGTTACCGTTACTGATTCAAACCTCACTAATCTCTGAGGTCTTAAGGGGTTTGTATACATGCCTCTAATTGGTAGGGTTGACCTTCTAGGGCATTGCTAAGGCTAGCCTCTGCAGGCCAATAATTTAAAAACCCCATGGGTTCTACACAGCTCCAAAAATCAGGTAAAAACTGGAGGGAATGTTAGAGGCAATGAGGAGAGAAATCAAGGATTATCTGTTTTCTCTGATAGCTGGATCTAGGCGATTTATCTACTGCCTTGTCTATGGGATCACTCATTATCTACACATTTTTATAAAAGGTCACCCAAAAGGAAATTGTTGACAAGCAACCTTAAGCCTTAAAAAGATGATACACAACACACTGTGATATTTGCTCTTAGTCACTCCTGGCAGGCAGAAGTGAGAGTGTCATTCATCAGCGTCTCAGATGGCCCTCTATGAGGAAGCATGTCCTGGAGTAAGCCTGTGAGGGCAAACCTGCTGCGGCTTCACAAGTTTAGCACCGTTAGCGTTACCTTCCTCCGCGTGCTCTCATCTGCGGAACAATTAATCTACGCCTCTTGAAAACCCTGTGGAATCTGCCTTTTCATCTCCACGAACCCCGTGGGCTTTCTGATTGCTGCTTGATAGTACTAACCTATTTTTAGTGGTTTTCAGTTGAATGTTTGTGTTTTATGTCAGCCTCCTCAGTGGAGGTCATACAATATACACAGCCATACTATACAGTCACATACCTAAGAACTTTCTTGGGTGTGATGTTAGAGCATAAAAAAACTTCATTGTGCTTCCGGAACATTCTAAATGAAAAGGGTTAATACATGTCTTGTTTTGTTTTGTTTTTGAGACAGAGTCTCACTTTGTTGCCCAGGCTAGAGTGACTGCCATGGCGTCAGCCTAGCTCACAGCAACCTCAAACTTCTAGGCTCAAGCAATCCTGCTGCCTCAGCCTCCCGAGTAGCTGGGACTACAGGCATGCGCCACCATGCCCGGCTAATTTTTTTCTATATATATTAGTTGGCCAATTTCTTTCTATTTATAGTAGAGGCGGGGGTCTTGCTCTTGCTCAGGCTGGTTTCGAACTCCTGACCTCGAGCAATCCGCCGCCTCGGCCTCCCAGAGTGCTAGGATTACCGGCGTGAGCCATGGCATCTGGCGTTGCGTTTTGTTTTGTTTTGTTTTGTTTTGAGAAAGAGTCTTGCTCTGTCGCCTAGGCTGGATGGAGTACAGTGACCTCATCACAGCTCATTGCAACCTCAAACTCCTGGGCTCAAGCAATCCTCCTGCCTCAGCCTCCCAAGTAGCTGGGACTATAGGCACGTGCCATCACGCTCATGTATTTTTTGTAGAGATGGGGGCTTGCTCCTGCTCAGGCTGGTCTCCAACTCCTGAGCTCCAACAATCCTCCCACCTTAGCCTCCCAGAGCACTAAGATTATAGGGATAAGCCACCATGCCTGGCCTACATGCTAATTCTTGTAAGACTAAATCAATGGAAGTGATTAGCATGCTGTGATATCTATAATAGCTAAAAGTGATGCCAAGTAAAATCATAATTTCCCCATTTTAGTGAGGGGGGGGAAAAACGCATATTTCTTCACTATCATAGTAACCATGGGTTACCACTGTTATTTCCGTAGCAGTTACAGGCAGGTTCTCCCTGCCTTGCTTCAGATGAACTTGTTACTTATGTTTACAGTGCTTTCCTAGCTCTGCCAGGCAACTTGTTCTGCTTCATCCTTAGTACCTCTTCTATGGGGCTGTACACACAGTGGACTTTTCCTGTTGTTTTTGTTTTTTGAGTAGTGTTCAGTGGTAAGTGGACTCTTAGAACCTTGGCATTTGCTGGTATGGAGTTCAGTCTCAGTTATTCACCAGGACTTGACATATCACTATTTCTAGTTTTCCTGGGTTGTGAATTTTAATTCACCCAGATGCTGTAAGGCTGGATCTTTCCACAAAGCTAAATGACATAACCAACAGCTAGCATCTCAGTTTCATTTACATGCTCTTGAAGCATTTTTATGTATATATAGCAATTCTTGAGAGGTGACTCCTCAGTAATTCAAAGATTCACTATTCATTTTGTAGATTATTGGACCCTTGTTCCTCTTCTTTCTCCTTTTGTCTGTCCTTGAGGATTGTGTTGTTCTTTAACACCTTTTTTAAGGGAAGTAAATGAATATGTTCAAGTCAGTCGAGTTTTTATTTGCATGAGTTTTAAAAAAAGCAAAGGAATACAAGGGTAAAGGTCATCTATGATAAAAAGTAAATGTAAAACACAGACATAATCATTTTTTGTTCGGTTTGCTTACAGGTTGTATCTATAAAACTCCTTTCTTCTGAGACCTCAGAGTACTTTCTTATTTTTTCTTTTTTTTTTTAATTGTGTAGTTATTCTTTTCTATATTTTTTCCCCTTTTTTGACTTAACAGGTGTACAGTATTATCTTTTTTCTTTTCTTTTCTTTTCTTTTTTTTTTTTTTAAGAGATAGGATCTCTTAAAGGTCTCCAAGCTGGGGCACAGTAGTGTGATCATAGCTCACTGGAGCCTGGAACTCCTGGGCTCAAGCCATACTCCTGCCTCAGCTTCCTGAGTATGTGTGACTACAGACACATGCCATCATGCCTGTCTAATGTACTTTTTTATTTTTGTAGAGATGGGGGCCTCGCTGTGTTGCCCAGGTTGATCTTGAACTCCTAGCCTCAAGGAATCCCCCTGCCTTGACCTCCCAAAGTGCTAGGATTATAGGCGTGAGCCACTGCGCCTGGCTTTTTTATTTTTTTAATAGCATCCTAGGGATTAAGATAGGACTTTCTTGTCTCCCCTAACTCCCTTACACTTCTAATCTCACTAGAGATCTGGAAGAAAGCCAGGAACTGTCTCTGAGTTTTAGTATTTGTAATTGCAGTATTCATTCAGGGTAGGGTTGGGGGTTTGTGAACTGAAGGAAATTTATAAAACAAATATTGAGGTCCAGAGAGGCTAAATGTCACACAGAAGGTTGATTATAGTCACTTCTAGAACACATGCTTGGCTGGTTAGTTGGGTCGGGGGATGGCAGTTTCTAATCATTTTACATTTTGCTGACTTCAGTTTAAAAATATGCTATCCCAAAACCTTAAATCTGGTGAGTCATGGAACACAAAGAAGTACAAGCAAGAGCTAAGGTAGCCTTTTGTGCAGTTTAATTGCTTTTCTTAAATGGCACCTCTATCTCCAGCTGTGAATTTCAGATATTTGATTTGAAAAGTGCATTTATAAATGGAAATAATAAAAATCAGTCCCTTGCTAATGCTGTTTTCTTTTTCTTTTGTTTTTGTTTTTTGTCTCCTTTCTCTAGCATGAAAGACTTTCTAGGTAAGAACTCTCCCTATTTTATATGCATGCTTAATACTTATGATTGAATGAATGTCTAATTAAATTTAACGTTACGTAATAGTTTAGTAATGTTTCTCACATCCTTTCCTTTTCATTTCTATAGCCACCACAATAATTCAGACTTTTATTATCTCCTGCCCAAAGTAATGAAACACCTTTTCAGCTCACCTTCCTGCCTCCAAGTGATTCTCCTCTTTCTGGTCCATCTTGTATACTTCCACTAGATTTATTTTTTTTAAAGCACCAGTTGTACCAAGGCACCATGTTAGGTACTAGGCAAACAGCATGAACAAGACACTATTCTTAATTTCACTTAGCTTACAAGCCAATAGAGAGACAGATCATTCCAGTAGAATGTAGTAAGTGCTAATTAGAGGTATGGACAGGCATGGTGAGCACAGAGAAGAGCTATTAACCTGATCTGGTGGTTCAGGGAAGGCTTCATTGCAAAGTTAAAGCCTGAATTGAGATTGAGGTTAGATACTGTCATATAATAGTGGGTCCAACATCTGTATCTAGATGGTGCTCAGTAATAGTTTGTTGAATGAACTAAAGACCTGTTTCACAATTGCTGAAAAATTAAGGAAGATTGTCAGAGTTTGGGGGATGACCCTCTGTAATTTTTCACCTATTATCTAAGGGCACAAAACTGATCTTCCTGAAGAAGAAAATAAATAAAAAATAATAGAGACTATGGAGCCAAAAGTTTGAATCTTTCTTTTTCCACTTTCCTCTGATGGAAAATTAAGAAGCGATTGGGGGAAGATATAGTTACGGGGTAGCATAGGGCAAATAAGTTCCTCCTAACTTGTTTGGTAATTGAGCTGGTTCTGCCTCATTACTATATTTTAAACTTTACATGTATTCTTCTGGTTGCCTTCTCACCAGGCACCAGCTGGAGGACAAATAATTTACATCTAACTTAGCAGAAAATGGCTTAATTTTGTAAAAGTGGAACTTTCCTACAGTTAATATTTTGTGAACTCTGTTATACTATACTGGCCATTTGTGAAAGGAAATTTTCCCCACAGACGTCATAATATGCTGTAAAGCTGTAGTGATGAAAACAGTGAAGCACTAGTTTAAGGATAAACAGATCTATGTAACACAATGCCTAGTCCCCACAATGACATGTGTATGAGGTGACTTTGCATCTCTGTGATGAAGAAATTATTCAGTGAGTGATCATTAGAACAGCTGATTGTCTATTTGGGAAAATACATCTTTCCCGCAAGCCAAACCAAAAAAAGAAAAAAAAAGGGAAGGAAAAACCAATTGCAGATGGATTACAATTTTTAAGGAAAAGGGCTTTACATTAAAGTTAGTAGATGAGAAGATTTTATAATCTTTATATAAGAAAGACCATTCCAATAAGGATAGCATAAAGGTAAAAATTATCAAATTTAATTATATAAAATTTAAAATCTCTACTTGTAAAAGACACTATAAACAAGAGACAAAAAGTGAAGTGAGAAAAATATTTGCAGCCTATGTTAAACATCTTTAAAGGCCCTTCTATGTAGGAGGCTCTTCCAATGTTAACAACAAAAAGATGATTACCCTAGTGAATGAAGGCTGTGAATAGGCAATTCAGAAACAAAGGTAAATAACCAAAGATATTGAATCTCCCTAATTGTTTAAAAAATATTAAAATTAATGACAATGAGATTATATTTCTCCTATTGGATTGGAAAGGATTAAACCTCTCTGGAGGGCAGCATGGCAATATGTATATAAACATTTAAAATATATTTAGTCTTGACCAAACAGTTACACTTCAAAGATTTATCCTAAGAAATTAATTGGACAAAGGCACTAAGATTTATAGACATCTGCTCATTGTAGCATTGTTTATAGTAGCTAAAAAAAAAACACCCAAAAAATATAAGTATCAATAGAGGATTTAGTTATATAATTATACAAGCATGAAATGGAAGATTATGCAGTTTTTTTTTTTTTAATGAGGCAAATTTATTTTTACGTACATGGTAAGATGCCCATAATCATAGTGATAAGTACAGGGAGAAGGAGGACTTTGACAGCACTGTGTGTTATGACTTTATTTATAGATTTAGGTATTTTAACATTGATGTGCTCTGCAAGGATATGATCTAAACTGCTAATAGTGATCATTTCTTAGGAGAATTATGGGGTGACTTTCACTTTCTAGTTTAAACAATTCAGTATTAACTCTTTCTACAAACATGTATTGCTTTTGTAATCAGGAAAGTCAATAAAGAGATTTCTGTTAACCAAAAAACAAAAAAGAAAAAAAATGTTGTGAAGAATGTGGAACTCTCTGTGAAAAGTGGCCATTAGCATCATTGGGAGCTGTTTACTTTGCCTAGCCCTTCTCTATGTCATTCCTATTGCTCCTCTACCTCCTCTAGTACTTAGCTCCCCCAGCCCCAGCTATGGCAATAACCACCACAGGACAGGGACATCAAACGCAAGTCACACAGCTGTGACTTTTCATCCCGGTTCAGGATGTAGAGCAGGGCTGGTTTGTACAGAGCAGTTTCACATGTGCCACGCTTTAGTCTGGGAAGAGCAAAGCCCGAGAAAAATATAAACCAGTGTTAAGGATTAGGGTGTAGTTGTGCACAAACAGGCAAGCAGCTGAGCGACTCTTCCCCTAATGAACTTGCCAATACTGGAAATAAACCACCATCAACTCTTAAGTGCTCTATTTCAAGGAGACATAGACATTCTAATCACAAGCACAGCAGTCTTGACCTGGAATATAGATAAGAGGTTAGGAAACAAGCTGTTTGGGCACTGTGTTGGTACCACGAAATATTTGGGATTCCAGAAACCAGGTAGTACACTTAAAAGGCATACATACCATGTCCTAGTGGCCACTCCACTCCCATTCAGCCCCAAGCTCAGATCTCCAAGTCCATATGTTTCTGATTCATTGACAGTTCATTGTAATCATTTTCCAAGAGCCATTGAAATCCAAGAAACTTTTACTTTTAAAAATATACTCTTGAGGGAAGCATTTCAACCCTAGACTAATTTGAAAAGCTCTAAGATTTAAGTCAGCACTTGGGTCCAAACCACCAATTTTTCAAGTAAAGCTTCATTCTTGGCAAATGCTGGCCTGCCTCCCTCTCCAAGCTCATGCAGTTTAGCCCTGAGGTCTGGGAATGCTGGCAGTGAGATTCAAGGAAGGAATGTTGTGCATTGTTTCTGTCTAGGGCTCTCAAACACTTCTTAGAAAAGGCGCAAACTACCCTTAAGCATTATCTTCCCCCAACTACTTTGTTCTGAAACCAATTTTTACCTTTTACTACTATCTCCCACAGGTTGGAATCTGGAGGTAGCAACCCTACAACCAGCGATTCTTACACTGAGCGGGCTTCAGCAAGAGCCCGTCGGGAGGCCCGGGAGGCCCGTCTAGCCACCCTGACCAGCCGTGCAGAGGAGGATAGCAACAGAGACTATAAAAAAGTAGGGTCTTTTAAAAATTTTCCTGTTCTTGGGTGACATGTAAACCTCTCAGCCTTTCCCCTCAGTGTAGTTCTGAGTAAGCAGAAGAAAAGGTGCTTAAGTAACAACTAATTCATTGCAGGTTTCTTCAATGCAGGTGTGCTTCACGTCTTCAACCAGCTGAGTAAAGACCCCTTCATATATCGTTTCTAGTGCAGTAAATGTATGGGTAGAATCAGATATTTAGAGGTGTAGGAAAAAGTAAGAAATTAAGAATTATAAAAAGGGTAAAAAAATCTGCTGTCTGTTTGAGCTTCTGAGAATCATTTGGTAGACTCTTGTTATTTTTAACAAATATGTGCTTTCTAATAAGATCCTGTGACTATCAACTAAATCCTACTTGGTGTTAGCAAGAAAAAAAAATCATCATCTGAGTTCAGAGAGGGTTTAAATCACTTTATAGCTCATTCCCTGTGGTTCTTGTAGAAGAGTACCTAGTTCCAGGAGTAGATTTGAAAAGCTTTCCCTTCAGGTGCTTGAGATACCAGGAAAAAATATTTTTGTTAAGAAAATATTTGTTTTGCTAAGCAGAACTTAACCAAAATCAATATACACACTAGCCGGGTACCAAACAAAATAATTCTCTTTTGTATGGGGAGGCACACTTTTAAGCAATGCAAATAGGAGAAAATAGAATGCCTGTTTTTCCCCCAGCGATTAACAGTAATGAAGCTGAAACATCATCATCCTCTTTGCGTTCATCACTCTCAAGAAGCAAGAGACCAGTTGGCTGAGTGCGCTCTGCTCCCTAGACTTCCTTCATCTTTTCCGTCTACCGCACAGTGGTGGCTTGGAGCGCAGGGGCCCAGGCATTCTCATGTGATGAACCACTATGAGTTCTAATTCTGGAAGCCCCACCTAGTGGGTGACCTGATTCTCTTTTTCCCTTCCCCCAGCTCTACGAGAGTGCCCTGACCGAAAACCAAAAACTGAAAACGAAACTTCAAGAGGCCCAACTAGAGCTAGCAGATGTAAAAGCCAAGCTTGAGAAGATGGCCCAGGTAAGGGGGAAGGAGAAGAAAAAAGGTGGGAGGCAGGGGTTGAGGTTAGGAGGCCAACTGGACTAGGGGTCTAAGGGACGAGAAGTAAGGCAGAGTCGAGAGCAGGCCTACTCTGGGGCAGCATGACAGTAGCCTCTTGGATTCCAATTTGATTCTAGGATTTTATCAGTGTTTAACTTAAAATTGAAAACTGATAATTCAGTGAACAACTCCTGATGGTCTGAATGCTACTCATTAATATTCTAGATCATCATTATTTTTTAGTAGAAAAGTATAAACCAGTGCCACAAGGCTAGTCCTAGACAGTTTCTCTTGTCTTGTTCATCATGTTGAAACATGTTTATCTATACATCACCTCTTGGAGGGGAATAAGCAAGATGCTATTAAGCCTATTGAAAGAGGTAGCAAACTAGGCCTAAAGAAATAAGTGCTTTGCTTATGTCTTATAACAAATCCAGGGCAAAGGTGGTACTACATTGAGTCCCAAAGCAAACATCTGTAACATTTGTTGTTTCCCCAAGCTACGACTCTCTTTGGGCTAGGAATAAGGAACATTAGTGGCAGAAAGACCAATTAACCACTTCCTCTCATTGCTAGGCCTAATTTAAATAGGTGATGCTTTAGAGCTGCAGTCCCCAACCACTGGGTCGAGGCCCGTAGCAGGCCATGGCCTGTTAGCAACCAGGCTGAGCATCACTGCCTGAGCTCCTCTTCCCCCACCCCACCCCAGGGAGCTGGGCCACACAGCAGGAGGTGAGCAGTGGGTGAGGTGAAGCTTCAGTGGTATTTACAGCCACTCCCCATCACTCGCATCACCACCTGAGTTCCACCTCCACCCACCCACCCCACCCTTATCCATGGAAAAATTGTCTTCCCTGAAACCAGTCCCTGCTGCCAAAAAGATTGGAGACTGCTACTTTAGAGGGTGCTGGAGGTAATAACCTCATCACCAGTGAAACAAACCCTGCAGCTGAAAGCTAAAGCAAATGCTGTCTTAGGTTATTGCTGAGTTAATAGGAAACCTATCGAGTAGTTGCCCTCCTGGAATGCCTGGGGACTAAGAATTTCAAAAGCTGAACTGAAGTAAAAACGTTTCTTTACCAGGAAGGCATGAGGTGGCTAATTATTTGGGCAATATAATATAATCCAAAAGCAAAGACTAAAATGCTAGGATTGTACAGTGCCGAATACATAGAGTTATGAGGGGCAGAAGGGATGAGCACCCTGTAAACATCTTCTTGCAACTTTTTGGGAATGGGATGAGCAAAGAGATGCCAACACTTGGAAGACAGCAGCACAGAACTGCATAGGATCCCAGGAAGACAGCTGAGACACCCGCACTTTCCAGAGAAGTGCCTGACCAGGCACAAAGTAGATGGCTGTCCTGTGAGCTCCAGTCAGCGTGGAAGAGGCACCCCTCTGCCTGGCTGTAGTAGCCAAAAGTGGCCCTTCCTGGGGATTTCTGAGACAGATAGATAGTAACTAGGCTTAAAGTGATTTTGTGGAATGAGAAAAGTAGGTCTCTAAACCTATTACGAAATTTAAAAATACACAGTTATAACCCTGCCGTAAGGCAGGAGGTGGACTCAATAAACCTTGTGGTCTCTGTTCACCTCAACATTACCGAGCCATGCAAAAATGTCATATTCATGGTAGACTCTCAGAAGACGTCTGGGTCTGATTTTTATCTGAACATACCACATATTAGCAGTGGTCAATAAACACAGATGTTACACTGACTCACATCAGTTATCACTAGGGCTGTTTCACAGAGAATTAAGGAGCAGTCACATGAGAAACTACAGGAAGAACATGCTTCACCTGCCGCCGCCTGTTCTCCTCAGCAGCACCTTCTGACAGAGTATGTCTTGACCTTTAGGGGTCCTTGGCTTTTCCACCAGCTGGTGCCTCGGAGCAGTGAGCAGTCTGACAGGCTGCCGACAGTGCCTTGCACAAAGGGCTTTGAAAATGAAATCAGCCGATCCAGTTGCAGGGGGAAAACATTTACTCTCCAGCCAGCTGCTTTGCTGGGTGTGTCAGAATATATTAAATACTTAGTTTTGCCAAATAACAAGTTATTGAAATTCAGAATAAATGGTAGTGCTCCAAACTAAGTCTCTGCTATTTACCAAAAATGGAGTTGTTTGGCAGAACGGTAGGGGGAGGGCTTGTCAGCCTCACACGTTTGTATGGAAACAGTTTCTATGTGAACACACACAATGTTTTTACATAAAAGATCCACCTGAACTCTAAGGGGGTCAAAATTTGAAACAAAACAAACAAAAAACTAGTTCTCTGTGTATATGAACCTTGAAAATAGTGAAGTCATCACAGCTTCTATACTCTCAGGCTCAGGAAAGAGAGACTTATGAGGATGTGAACAAGCTACAGGGTCTGTTTCTGCATTTTCTCTCTTCCTTCTGTTTCATAGTAGACGCAGCATAAGGCAGACAGCCATGACCTTCAGAACAGAAGGTGAAAGCCCAGGATGGGAGCCAGAATTCTTAGTTTTACTGCTAGTTCTGGTTATTCCTTAATTTTTTGAAAAAAGAAACGTCTGCAAGAAGACCAGCATAATTAAATGTTCTCTGTGCATGGCACTAAGCAAAATAAAAATAATAATCACCTGTATTTATTAACTATCTACTGAATATAAGAAATTCTGCTTCATTCTATAATGTTAAGTCCAAAAGGTATGTAAGGGTTCATTTCTGTTCCCCTGTTTGAGGCAAGGTCATTATCTGAGGTTATTCTAATTTTAGCTGTGATGACTAAGTCTTTTTAGCCCCCTCTGCAAAATTTAAATTGAAAGTCAAAGATGATCTAAAATAAACATTCTAAATCTTTTATTCAAATAAAATATTACCTTATCTGGAAGGCCCAGTATATATTAATATAACAGAAGTGAAATTGCTCTTTTCAAAGCAAAGTAGATGCCATGAATGAGTTCCTAGGAACCCTTGGAAGCCCACCCACATGTGAAAATCACTGCTCTAAAAGAAAAACTGGCATCAGTTCCCCCAAAAAGACAGAATAGGGGAAAGGAGATTTTTTTTTTTTTTTTTTTGAGTCAGAGTCTTGTTCTGTTGCCTGGGCTAGAGTACAGTGGCATCATCATAGCTCACAGCAACCTCAAACTCCTGGGCTCAAGTGATTCTCTTACCTCAGGCTCCCAAGTAGCTAGTACTACAGGTATGCGCCACCATGCCCAATTAATTTATTGTTTTGTTTTGTTTCTTGTAGAGATGAGAGTCTCACTATGTTGCTCAGGCTGGTCTCAAACTCCTGGCCCCAAGCGATCCTCCCACCTCAGCCTTTCAAAGTGCTAGGATTACAGGCATAAGCCACCACACCTGGCCTCCCTAGTCTTTCAAAAAAGAAAAGCCATTTTTTAATCTGCTCTGAGTTTGTGATATTACTCATAGAAAGAAGAGGGGAGAGGGATGGTGAGATATAAGAATGTAGTTGGTATTGAAGACCTAGAGGGAGAGAGTGTGTGTTAGAGAGTTGTGAGTAATGTCTTTGTACTTGTATTTTAAATTTCAGGGAACACTGCTACTGCCTTCCCCTTCCCAGTGGGAATCCTGCAAACTTTAGAGGCAGTAATGTTAGGCTTAGAGATCGCTCAGAATCTGTTTGCTGGGGCCCCTGCTGTAGTGGAAGCCCAGAGATCTACCATCTGCTTCTGGATGTCTGTTGTGCGGCTGCACTAGACTGGGCTTTCTACTCGCCCTGAGACAGCTTAAGTAACAACTCTTTTCCTTGCTTTTGCACCAGCAGAAACAAGAGAAGACCTCTGACCGATCATCAATGCTGGAGATGGAGAAACGGGTATGAGCATATCTCTCTTCCCCCTGTTTCATCTGTTCTTTCTGACTTTCTCTAACTTTGTTGTTCGTGCCAATGGAAAAAGTTCATCTTGAGAAGGCAGGAGTTCTGCCACATTCCATTCCCAGCTCGATGATAAATTCTTTTCGTCTGACTCTGGGCAGTAATTTGATTGCTAGTCCTCTTGGCTTCCTCAGATGGTCAGTACTTTCCACATATTCCAGTCTCAGGGTGGGAAGGGTCCTTGGAAGGTCATCTTACACGCTGTTCCGCTTGTAGGCGGAACTGTGCCCATGCCCACACCCATAATATATTTCGGTTTACTGTAAATCATCACTCACCCACATTCAGGGGCAAGGTCTCCTTACCCTTCCCATTACCTTGAACAGAAAGGAGGCTTTCATTCTGTGAAATGTAAATATAGTAAAAAAAATAAATAAATAAATAAATAACAAAAGTGAAAAAAAAAGAAAGGAGGCTTTTAGCAGGACCCTCTGCCATTGGTTTCGGTCTTATGACTTGAAACATGAGCCAACACAGATTTTTACTCTTTTGCCTGTGGAGAAGATTTCTGGTTCAATTGCTGACCTCTTCCCAACTGCATTCAGAATATTATCCTGGGATTTTACATTCTTAGATTGGGAAAATTCAATTAGATTTACTGATGAACCCTAACTTTGATTTGACTCTAGGGATATATGTTCCCATCTCTCCTGTTGTTGTCCATTTGGAAGGCAACTAGGTTTTATTATGTTTTATTCCTTTGGCCTGTAACCAAACCCCCTTGGTATTTCAGTGATATCTACCTCCTTACCATCTGCTCCCCATCATTAGAGCAGAAGCTCTCTGGGAATTTAGGAGGGACATTACTGAAGATAATGATGCCTTTTCGATAATAGAGAGCAAGGGCTCTAGACACTTACTGTCATTTGAAATTCCATGAAATCTTAAACTTGCACAAAATAACTCCAAGTACCCTGGTTCTTTGTGTATTAGCAAGTTACTTCTCCATATATCTTCTAATTTTCTGATAGGAAATTTAGGTAATGTGATTTTTATCAGTGAAGTAGCTCCATCCCCAAGCATGGGTCAGATATTGCCCAAATCTCCAAGTAATGTTTGCCCGAGTCAGTAGGCAAACCCTTCGACCATGAAGCTGCTGATCACACAGCAGTTAGGAGGCAGCATTTTCACTCCCCTCTAAATTCGCTAGATATTCAACAGTCTCGTTGTTCTTAAACAGGAGAGGCGAGCCCTGGAGCGGAAAATGTCAGAAATGGAGGAAGAGATGAAGGTAGGAAGAGATTTTCTTTCTCTCTGTGAGCTTGTTCTGTGAATGCCTGCCAAGACTGGACATTTGAGCCTTTCCCCTCCAAATTTCACCACAAACACAACAACCTCAAGAAGCGTGGTGTGTGCAGAAGAGGTGAGCACCTCTCCTCAGCCTTCTCCGGCTCTCTCAGTGCACACAGTGTCCACCTCAAAGGCCTTCTGGGAACATGTGCCGTCTTTGGTTTAAGAGGAGATCTCAGCAGGGTGCAGACAAACCTCAGTTGAACTCTTAAGATTTTTTAAACAATATCTTCCCCCTCCAGAGGCTGGATGGGGAGGCAAGAACAAGTTTTCCGGCTCTGCGGAGCCTCCCAGTAGAAGCCTAAGCCTGGCCAGAGGCTTTCCTCCCTGCTGCTCCTCCCCAGCCCAGCCCAGCCCTGAGCTGGGAGGAACTCAGATTAAGTCATTCTGCAGTAGAATAAAAGTTTATTCACATTTTGTGTCCTACCCCATTTCGTTTCCCCTGAAGTGTTCAGGAATGCTTGGCACTCTTCCTCCAGAGTAAGATACACTTCACAGCTGACTGCTCTCCTCCCTCCCCCACCATGACCTGCAGTGACCATCATCTCCATTAGCCACTTTGATGGACAGCTGCCACCCTGAGCAGTTTGGAGTGCTAAGAGCCGGCAGTCTATCCACAGGAGACAGTTGCTGCTGTGGAAGGGGGGGCATCTAGAGCTGATCAGGGTAGCCACCTGGTGTGCTTTGGGGGCATCTGTCATTTAGCACTTGCTCAGCTTTTTCTTCTTTTCTCAAGGATCTTATTTTACTGAACATATGATGCCAAGCATTCATCTGGTGAAACATAGGTTTCTTTAGCTGGGAAACAGAAGCCTGGGACAGTGTTAGGCAGATCCGCAAGTGTCTTTCTATGAGCAAGCAACCCTAATATGTACTTGAAGCACTTTGGGAGAGATGTTTATTATTCCATTGGCCTAAAAAGGTTGGTTATTTACTGGGGGGGGGGGGACTTTTTTAAGACCTGACAAGGTCATAGTGCACACAAGATGCAGTGCTCATAATCCTGTTACTCTTTATAATTCCAGAATGAAGGAGAAATGCCAAGCCCTGCCCCTGCATTCCCTACTCACCCTCTGAAGGCTGTAACTGATAATATTCACATAGAATTCCAAGCAATGCCCGCTTATATCTCAAACACGTTAAATCTTCCAAGTTGATTCAAAGCAGCAAGAAGTAGAAATAAGTAGTTGATTCTCCTGACATGATGGAACAGTATGCCCAAACAGCGTTAAACTTCTCCATCTTCTGGTTTTCCCAGTCCCATCCCACTTAACCACACAGAAACATTCTCTTCCACTTAGAGCAGTGTGTTAGTGGAGCTAAACAGTTCTTTTTTTCTATTTTAAGAGACGGGGACTCACTATGTGGCCCAGGCTGGATTCAGACTGCTGAGCTTAAGCAATCCTCCCACCTGAGCCTCCTGAGTAGCTGAGACCATAGGTGTGTGCAGTGGCACCCAGATGAGCCAAACAGTTCTTGATGAATGAATGTCCACAGCTCCTGGTTGCCTAGGGGCCTCTCCATTTTTGAAAGCCCCTGAGTTATTCCATCTGTATTCTGTTGTTAGGCAGCTGTCAGTTTTGCTTATTAAGAAACGGCTCTTCTGAGAATGTAAATGAGACCAAAGCTGATACCTTCCAATAAGTACCCACGAGCCCAAAGCCAGCCTATATCCACCAGTCATAGAACGCTGTGTCACATGCAGGCCCACACACAAAGACCCAGAAAGTGTCCAAATTGGAGAAATTGAGGTCCTTCTTTATTTCTATTCCAATTCTAAATTGGTGAGCACGAAGCCCCTTCAGTGGTTCTAGTTGTTCTCAGTCCTATGGATTGAGACAGGCCTACATATCCTCTCTCTCTCCTTATCCTATTAGGCTGTGACTTCCTAAGCTAGGTTATGAGTTCTTTTCTTTCCTCAATAGAGATTTTAAAACATGAAAGTGTCTGCTCTTCCCATCCATAAGCTATTTGCCAAAAACTCTAAAATCAATTGTCTCAATTATCAAGTGGAGCTAAATCATGACTCTTTAGCCCCCAAATCAATAGATAAGCTGATCTGAGATTGATTTTTTTTTTCTTTTTCTTTTATTTTTTGAAACGGGGGTCTCACTCTGTCGCCCAGGCTGGAGTGCAGTGGCATCATCATAGTTCAGTGCAAACTCAAATGATCCTCCTGCCTCAGCCTCCCAAAGTGCTGGGATTATAGGCATAAGCCACCATACCCAGCCTGATTTGATTTTTTTTTAGTTCAAAAATCCACTGATTCAGTCAATTGCCACTATTATCCATTATCAATTACAAAGCCAAACATAGAAGAAACACCTGTAAGGTCTGAAGCCCCTAAACACCATTTTAAATGAGAGCCTAATACCAGGTTTGCAAATCATGCAGCACCCCCTAGAGGACTAAGGGTGGGGAGCACCAAAGCCTCCCTAGTCACACCGGTTTGTTTCTGTTTGTACCTTCTTTGAAGGCAAAAACCAAATACACAGATATGAATATTATAAAATTGGTGTGACTGGCCCTAAAGGAATCCAGTAAAATGCATATTTAGAGCTCAAGTAGTTCATCCAAACTATAGCGTATGGGGACCAACATCTAAAGTGATTAATGGCCAAAATTTCTGTGTACTAGGTAGCCAGCCAACAGTACAGATAACCATCTTGTGGAACCTGGGAGCCAGCAAAGCTTGGGGCCAGTTGGTCTCCATGTTTTTTATATATTCAGTTTATACAGAGGCCCCAAACCTCTTTGGAGCAATCAGTAGGGACCAGTTTGGGGGATTGCTCAAGGACAGAGAATGACTTCATTCCTATTTTTCTGACTCTACAAAGTACGAAGGCCAGGTAAAACGGGGGAACTAGGCGATGGGCTAACCCAGATGTACGTGTGGCTCTGTGGTTGTGAGGTGGGTTGTGCCTTTCTGGCCTTTGCTTGGAAAGGTAAGTACTTATGAATTCTCCCCAGGAGAAACTCTACTCACACCCTGGATTTTGGAATAGGATTATATGCCACTTTCTGACAGGTGTGCATGTCAGTGTGAGCTGTTCCAAGCCTGCACTTGGTCTTGGGAAGTGCCCACATCAGACCTGATTACTGCATCTCCATTCAGCATCAGCCTCCTTGCCAGACCTCCTCCCTTCCTTTCCCAGGTCCTTGCATGAGAGGGGCCCAACAGCCAATCCCCTTTTAGATTGGTCCTGGTATTTTTATTTTACTTTGGAAATGTCACTTGCCAACCCTGCCCCTTAGTCCTGCCCTGTTCCCTGCTCTCCTGTCCTCTCCTTGCCATGCCTTGTTTTCAGTACTGCTTCCTATAGAACATTCCACCAGATTGTTTCCTGCCTCTCTCCCTTGTGCTGATAATGTCCAAATTCTTCCACCTGATCTGCTTGTACTCACACGTTAGACTGAGTCACTTTCATAGTTCACATCTTTAATATCATTCCCTAGGAGGCAAGGACCACTTCTTACAATGACAATTATTGTGCTGAAATCTTTGGTCCAATGTCAACATCAAAGAAGGATGAGAGCCAGGGACTTTCTGTTGGTTCTTAAATTTGGTCCCTGCCCATCTCTTCAAACTTTTCCATATGCTGCACCGTGCTCTCCCTCTTCTGTCCGCGCCATGGCCACAATGCTTACGGTGGGCAAAGAGGATTGCCCAGTTCACACCCTCCAGTGGCTACGTGGAACTGTTTGGCTGCCCTGCCTTTTTCCCAAGGTGGTTATTCTCTGTCTTTGGGAAAAGAGAGATTCAGCAGTTTGTCTCTGCTTGTTTTTCTTTTTCACTGTTTTTTTTTTTTTCTCTTCATGCTACCTTCCATTTTCTTGCTGCTTCATCCCAAACAACTACAACTCCACTAATCTTTCATTTCTATCCTTCTCATCATGTGGGTATGAGAGACTTTTGTCTGATACCCGGCCACCTTTCAGTAGTCATTATAACCCTCAGGAGTGTCCATCTTCATCTCTGAAACCCCATTCCCATAACAAAATCATTTCCCTCCTCCCAAAGAGCCGATGACCTCAATTTCAGGAGTAATGCAGATGACTACTTAGGAAGGGCAAGTACAGAGTAATCAGGCCTGTGATATAATTCCATTTATTTAAGTCCCTTATGGGATATGGGATATTAGGAAGAATATCTATGGGATGGTTATTCTGTTCAAGTTGCAACACTGACAAATAGTGAGGGCTGGACTAGCATGTTAGTCCAGCCAAATTCCATTATTTATGAACATTTATGGTTTCTCCAGTTTTTGTGCACAGCTGTAATTTCCAGAGTATGAGTCTGTTCATGAACACCTTTAAGCAGCTGCCAGGCTCTGCATGACCTGGGACAAAGAGAGCACCATTAGATGTGACTTTAGCGATGCATATAATCATATATAGTTGGTCAGAGGCAGGTTAGCAGTTCTTAGATCCTGGAGCAAGCTCTCTGGACTGCAGGGAACTAGCAGGGTTAATGAAGCTTCCCACAAAGCAGGTTAGAGGACCATTATTTTGGTATGTGTCACTGCAGCCTTCTAAACAGTACATGTCCTGTACCAAAAAAAAAAAAAAAAAAAAGCTTAACTAACAGACCTCTCTTTTATTTTCCATGCTTTATTTTTAAAAATAAAAAATAAATGAGGTACAAGAAGAACCCAGAAGGAAGAAAGTTGGGGCAAGGGACCAAGTATAGGGAGAAGATAAGAGGAAGAGAGAGAGAAAAGGGCAGCAGCTGGATTTAGGAATACATAGAGTCCTGAACTCCAGTCCCAGTGATGAACAATGGTCCCTGCGGCTGTGGCTCAACCATGTTAATTTGGTTCAGAAGGCTCCAAACCACATGGTGGGCTGTCATTCTCAAAAGCAATCCACATGTGCTTTTTGAGAGCCTGGTGGTTATATGCATATGGCTGACCTTCAGCATATTTCTACCTTAGCCAAGAATGTCAGACAAGCTCTCCCCTCCTTAATGCTTTTCTCTATCATCCCTCCCTCCTCACCACACCCCCATTTGCTCTAATGACTCCTGCCTTTCTCATTTCCTTTCTTGCATGCAAACTAAAAACAAAACCAGAAAGTCACGTGATTTCTTTGTTCCACTTTTTTCTCCTCTGGTCTGTCTTGTCTCTCTCTGTCTTGTCTGTCTGTCCCCTTCATGTCTCACTCTCTACAGAACCTCCACCAGCTAAAACAGATTCAAACCTTGAAGCAGATGAACGAGCAACTACAGGCTGAGAACAGGGCCCTCACCCGAGTGGTGGCCAGACTCTCGGAGTCCATCGAGTCCTCGGATACCCAGGAGCTCTAGTTCTTGCCCCTCCTCTCCACCTCACTTCCCTCCTCTACTACTCCAGGCAGGTTCAGTCGTCTTGTTGGTCCCAGAAGCTCTGGGCTCATCCCCTCCATCAGAGCCTCCGTGTACAGGTTCCTGTAAAGTTTGGTCATCTGCAAATGGAAGGAACCGGGACTGAGACCATAGAATGGGACATAACAGCTTAGGTCAAGGGAGACAGTGGGGACACCTTGCCTGGGCTGGGGGTTATTTGGTAAGGTCACCACATACCTTCTCTTCCCTGGAGACTGAATATGGATTTGCTTACTCAGCTACGCATAGGTGTGCACATGTACGTGCACATGTGTATGCTCATTTCATTGGTGGGGTCATTGCCAAATGGAGATAGAGCTTTCTTCGTCAACAGCAATCTTAGTGCAGCCTGCTCCCCTGGAGCAATTGAGGTTGGTCCTGGACTCCCAGTGGTTTCTGGGCCTGGGATAGGGGCTCTCAACACTGGCTGCACATTAGAAACACCTGGGAGCTTTTAACATACACCAGTGCCTGGGCCCATCTGCAGAGAATCAGGGGTCTGGGTTGAGACCCAGGTATCAGTATTTTTTCAAAGGTCTCCAGCTGATTCTCTCGTGCAGCCATGGTTGAGAACCACAGCCCTTTGGATGCCAGACAGAACTAAACCCTCACAGCTGAAAGCACTGCTGGATGGAGAGGGCTGGAACTACTCTGGCTGAGCTCCGCAACCATCGAAAACATTCTCTATCCAACCACTGGACAGAATGTGATACGCATTCTTTGCCTCCTTCTGCAATAGTCTTTGCTTTCTTCTCTTGCCTTGGTAGGCATTCTTCTAATCCCTGTTACAAATCTCAGGACCCTCGGGATGAGCCTCTCCCTGCCCCAGGAGTGGACTGTAAGGCAGAACACAGCCTGTGTAGATGAGACTCACACAGCCAGGTCCTTCCTAACTGGGCCAGTTTTGCAAGGGAGATGCCAGGCAGTGGAGCAGAGAGCAGAGGTTTGTTTTCAGCTTAGAACCAAAATATGTGTTTGGCAAACTGGAGCCTTTCCCTGGCTGTGGATCTGAAAGACAAGCTTACAGACAACTTGTTTTTCCATCCCAAGATGGTGTGATTGGGTCTCTGAAATTAGTTTTTAATTTGTAGCAACAATCTAATTAGCCCTGACCGGGGCCTGTTCTTTTTTCTGTCTATTTGCTTTTGTCTTCAGGGTCAGTAGCTGGCAACTAATATCCACTATAACTGAAGCACCCAAATTACTATAAGGGATGAGCTAATATCCTGCTATCACAGGCAGAAAGAAAATTGAAAGGGAAGTTCTATGGCCTGGCAGCAAACAGCCGCTGTTTGTTAGGTCCAAACTCCATGTTTTAAAGTTAGCCTCAAGATTCCTGGAAAATTTGACTTTGGGTGAACTAGGGGCCTCCAAAAGATGTTTTGGGTTTTTTTAGTTTCCTTTGTTGCAAGATAGTACAGGAGATGGGACAAAACTAGATCTCATGCTCTCAGTATTTAATAACCATGATAGCAGTTATCATTTATTAAGCCCTGTGCTGAATGCTTCATATGGTTTTTCTCATTTATTCCCCAAAATAATCATTGTACACATGAAAAAAAATCAAAAAACTGAATCGCAGATTAAGCAACTTGCCCAAGATCACTCAGAGAGTAAGTGGTTGAACCAAAATCCAAACCCAATATGTCAGGTTCCAGAGCCCAGGCTTTAGGCCACTATAATGCTGTCTGCATGCTTGGCACTGTCTGCACACTTGGCAGAGTTTCAACTGTTTGCTAAGAATGCAGCCTAAACAATGTAAGAATCTATTGAGCAACTACAGTGTGCCCCAGCATTGCCGCTGAGGGAGGACAAGCAGCATTCTGCTTTCTCAGCATTCTGACTTCTCTCGAAGGCTTTCTTCCAGAGAGCTGTTCACCTACCGAAAGATTTTGCTGCTGTGAAGACAGCCATTGCCTGGTACATGACTTTCTATTGCAGGGGTCAGCAAACTGTGACCCTCCAGTACGGCCCATGAGCCATACAAACAGTCAAAAAAATATATCAAATGAAGAATAATATTTTATGACACAAGAAAATTATATGGAATTCACATTCCCAGTGTCCAAAAATAAAGTTTTATTGGAACTGAACCATGTTCATTTGTTTGCTATCACCATGTCTATGGGTGCTTTAGTGCTATAGCAGCAGAGTTGAGCAGTTGCTGCAGAGACTGTACGACCTGCAGACACTGAGGTATTTGCAGTCTGGCCCTTTATAGGAAAAGCTTGCTGACCCTGCCTAGAAGAAGGATGAGTTAACTAAACCAAACAGGCAGTGTGATCAAGAGATTTTTCCCACTTTTTTTAAATTAATAGTCCCCTGCAGAAATCATCTTATCTCAGCATGAAGAGCAAGGCAACAAAATATAAAGAGGGGACTCACTTCCCATGTCGTTGGAAGCAAGGCAGCTCAGGCATGACTTATTCTGAGTCCCTCTAACCCTACAGCTAGCCTTGCCCTTGGTCTCTGGAGCTTCAGGACCCCCATAACCTCTACCTCTTTAACACATTCCTCATCAAAGCCTGTAAGAAGTAATATTTGAGAACATGTGTACTTAATTTTGTTTGTCCGAGGCATCAAACTGAGTTAAGCTGGAAATTTAGAAATTAAGAAGCTGAGGTCCAGAGAGTTAAAATGATAAAGCTTTGTTAAACCTCATACTTATATTGTACTTTCACATGTGTTCTTATTTAATTATTCTTTAACCTCAAGTGAATATCAGATAACACTGTTCACTTACCCCTCTCATTTAAGAGTGAAGTTTATGAGGCTTTTCCCCCCTTGATTTCTACATTCCACTTATTGGACTTCTTGACACTCCCTTAAGATGTCAATTATAGCATGTTGCAGCTGTGAAATTGCCTTGTCCAATTTTTTTTTCAAGGATTTGAGTTCTTAATGTGGAAATAAATCACCGAAGCTCCATGAGTTGTTTGTACATTAAAAAAAAAAAGGCAGCTCAGTTCTGATTTGATGAGCTGCTAAGCAGTGCAGTGTAACCCATTGCCATATATAGCTTCTTCCCGCCTATGGAATCCTGTCAAGGAAATACAGCTCTCAGTCCCATGGATACCCGGGCTGCAGGCCCCAGGAAGAGGCACTAAAGAGCAGATGGGAAAGTGGAAACATGAGGCCACTCTGGGCTTATTTTTTCCAAAAACATTATTGAAATGAGTTTCTGAGCACTCAGTTCTGGTAGGCAAGGCTGCAGGGATACAGGCATGGAAAGAGAGGGTAGCCAGAGCTGCTTCGATTGAAGTAGAGATAGGAAAGGCAGGGTCAAAGGACTGAAGCTCTTGATACTTTTTAAAGAATTTAATCTTCTAAATGTACTCCAGGATCTTGATTTTTTTAATATATCTATGTTTTCTGGATTAAAGTCGTCTTAGTAAAGTTTGTAGATTATTTGCCAGCTCTCCCACATTCTTGGGAAAGCTCACGGTGGTAGTAGAAATACTCAGTATTGCAAAGCTCATTATGTATGTCAACATACTTCCACATCTGTTACCTCCCCTGGGCCTCACAGTCCCTACTTTATGAGGGAGTAGGACAGGATTACTGTTCCTTTTTTTTTTTTTTTTTTTACAAGTGTGAAATGAAATTTATTGAGGAAGGGTAAGATAGGTTTACAGAGCAAGAGCAAGATATATTCACCACAGACGATGGATGGACCCTCGTCGTAAAAAAAGGCTCTTGTTCTTATATAGATAAGAAAAAAAATAATAGAAACACAAAGAAGTTCTGTGACCTGCTAAACTAAAGGAGATCATTAATGACAATGACAATGCTAGAATTTCAGTTTCTGCTCTACAAAAGTTTTTGGTGTGTTGTCTTCATCCCAGCCCACCTATAATGAAAGAATAAATTTTTGGAGTCAAGCACACCTGGGTTCAGTATTATCTTTACCATTTAATAGCTGAGTGCCTTGGACTAGTAATGGAATTCACTTCCTCATTTGTAGAAATAAAGATAACAACTATATCGGTCTCATGAGGCACAAGTGAGACCCTCTAGCACAGTGCCTTCCACATTATAGAATAGATATTCCATAGTGTTTTCCTTT